CTGCAATGTGTCAGCCAGAAACCAAGCTCAGCCTGGTTGGAAGGTTTTTAGACACTACAGAGCACAGCTCCTGTGCTCCAAGGAAACCCAAGCCAAACTTGTCTGATAGGATGGCTCAGGGCATGGCGCCCAGAAGAGTCCTGAATGTGGTCAGAGGGCAAGAATGCTCAGGCGGCCACTCCATCAGGAGAAACAGTGTCAGAACTCCCTGGTAACAAGGAATTCCCTGCCCATCTGGGCTTCTCTGTTTCTAAGCAGACAGACAATCCTATCACCAGCAGAGAGAAAGGCCCAGGTTGCTGAGGGAAGCAGGGAGTGGATCCATTCATTTCACCCCCGTGTGATCCCTGGTAAATGTGGCTGCAACCTCAGCTGCACTGAATACAACTAACGTTCTAGACTCACTGTGACACTTGGCAAGTCCTTTCATTTCTCCGAGCCTCTGCTTCCCTTTCCGGATAGCAGAAATGTAATAACTCCTACCTGCAGGGCTGCATCAAGGATAAAAAAGAACATGCTCTAGAATGTTCTGTGTGAGACCCAGAGTACCACACAGATAGGAATCAAAACCACCTATGACAAGCCACCTGTGTTGCTGTGCCTAAACTTGACCCACATATTAATATTTAATTGGCTAAACGCTGGGACAATTTTCTCACTGACAAGTCTTGTAACAAAGGTAATTTAAGAAGTAAGAATGTTATTTTCATAGAATTCCATAATACTTTCATTTGGAAGAAATGAGTATGATCATAAACGTGTTGCTGTTGTTTTCCTGACTGGGTCCCTTGTACAAAAAATACATTGTTTATCATGGCTCTAATTGGCTCCCTTGTTTCAGCCTGACAATCTCTTAAATCCATCCTTCACTCTCATGCCAGCCTGCTCCGGCTCAAAGACAAAGCTGAAGCTGACTCCTCTTCTTCCCAAAAGACTCAAATCCAATCAGTCAAGTCTTATGGATTTGGCGTCCTTAATATCTCTCAAATCCACCCATTTCTCTCCATTCCACCTGACATGTCTCAATATTAAGTCACCATCGCTTCCCTCTGGAAACTAACGATTGCTGATGGCTCAAAGCTATGTCCCTGGCTGGGCAGTGCCCTAGGCTACACAAAAAACCCTTCCTTGCTCCTGGTTAAAGTCCTTCTCAGAGATCCTGGGCCACCAAATAACCATGGCACAAATGTGCAAAGGCCTGGCCTCCTTGCCTCTTTGAGATCTCTCTAAAGGGTTATCTCAGCTCCAGAGCCTTGAGTAGGACAGACTAGGCCTCAGTCACAACCACATTCAGTACCTGCTCTCTCCCCACCCATTGCTGCCATCCTCACTTTCTTTCAGGTGTAGCTCCCAAGAGTGTTCCCCAATAAACCTCTGCACACGATGGATGATTCTCTGTCTTAGAGTCTATTTCTGGGGAGTCCAGTCTAAAGCACTCCCCACCACCCAATATAGTACCTGTCATATAATACCTGGCACGTAGTAGGTGCTCAGAATGTACTTGATATATGAACAAATGAATGGACAAATGCCTTTTACAGCCAACTCTCAAGAGCAGGAAAAACCTGTATTATGTGACCATTTCCAGTGTCCACCACAGGGCCTGACTACTTATTTGCTTAAATGGTTCTTCAAATGTTCTCCTGATAAGGGGGCAGTCTTCTGGAGGCAAAGGCCTCCTTTCTTTATTGACTAGGCTCAAAGTGATACAAGCTAAAAGCATGGAATGTATGTAATATTACTCTTCATAATAATCAAATGTACTGCTTTCAAAGGAAGAAAATGCTATATTGCAAATTACAAAGCAGTTAGAAAATACCTTGATTTTCATTAAAATTTAGAGGGACTGTGTTCTCCCTGTGAATTAAAATAACTCTAGGACAAGCTATGTGCTAATAGGACTTTTTAAAGTCAGAAAACTAGCAAAAAGATCTAACTTGCCAGGGTTGGGAGGCATGCCCACTGGAATGATGCTGTAAGATTTGGAGCACCAAGACCCTCTTTCTGCCTATACCAGTGGTCGGCAAACTGCGGCTCACAAGCCACATGCGGCTCTTTGGCCCCTTGAGTGTGGCTCTTCCACAAAAGACC